ACGACGACGATGATGATGATGATGATGATGGTACTGATAATGATTATGATGATATCGTTGATCAGAAGATATGACAGTAATGATAGCAATACCAATGCCAACCATAACATGAAGGCAATGATGATAATGATACTAACATTAATGATAAGAATAACGATAACAATGAAATTAGTAATGATTATGATATTGCTGATGATGATGATAATGGTAATAGAAATAATGATAGCAATAAAAATGATAATGATGATGGTAATGATGATGATAATAATGGTTTCTTTAATAATAGATCTAATTATAATGATAAGGAAAGTGATAACAATAATGATAAGAACACCATAATGAAGATAAGATAAAGAAAAGAATAAAGATAAAGATAGATTTAAAGGTAAAGATTAACAATAAAAATAAGAATGTTAATGAGAATAATAATAGTAGTAACAACAATGTTATCAGCAACAATTAATAACACCGATAACAATAACAACAACACAAAAATTATAGTACGGACAGTACTTATGAAAACCATAGAAAAAAATGCTTTTTTGACCATTTTTCTTTCCCTTCTCACCCAAAGCTTTTTTTTCCATAAACTACTTTTTTCCATCTTTCTTTCCCTTTTCCCCTCTCCCCTCCTTTCTTGCCAAATCTACTTTTTCTCCTCTCTTTTCTCTCCTTCTCCCCCAAAGTTTCCTCCAAGAGCGACTTTTTTCCCGTCTTTTCTTTCCCCCCGAGTTTTTTTCCCAAGGCGATTTTTTACCCCTCTTTACTTCCTCCCCTCGAGTTTCTTCCCAAAGCTACTTCTCCCCAACCCCCCTCCCCCACCTCTTTTTTTCCGTCTCTCTTCTAAAAATCATTTTCTTTACCTTTCCCTCTCCCCTCCCCCCCTCCAACTTTCTTTCCAGCTTGACATGTCCATCTTTTTAATTTCCCTTCTTCCCCCCTCTTTTCTTCCCAAACCTCTAATCCCTCCCCTCACCCAACCCCCCAACCTTTTTTCCTCCCCCTCTTCCCCCCACCCCCCCTTCCCTACCACCACCACCCTCCCCCAAACATTCCTCCCAAACCTCATCCCCCCCATTTTTTCCTTCCCTCTCTCCTCTCCCCCCCCAACCCCCACCATTTTTCCTCCCCCCTCTTCCCCCCATACCCTACCCCCTCCCCCTCCCCCAAAACATTCTCCTAAACTTCATTTTTCCACCCCCATCTATTCTTCCCTCTCCCCTCTCCCCACCCCCAACCTTTTTTCCTCCCCCCTTCCCTACCCCCTCCCTCCCTCCCGAAAACATTCCTCCCAAACCTCATTTTTCTACCCCCGTCTTTTCCATCCCTCTCCCCTCTCCCCCCACCCCCCAACCTTTATTCCTCCCCCCTTCCCTAAACCCCCCTCCCTCCCTCCCCCAAAACAATCCTCCGAAACCTCATTTTTCCACCCCCATCTTTTCCTTCCCTCTCCCCCATCCCTCCCACACACCCTACCCCGCCCCCAACCCGCCGCGCCCCCCGCCCCCCCGCCGAGTTTCTTCCCGGGAGCGAGCTGCTGAGGTGTCATCCCTACATCTCAGTCTGATGTCGATAATGCACACAAAGGAACGGACTGCACGCATGTTCCTTGTTCTTCTGTTGCAGCATTCGGGGTGTTTTTGCTTGTGTCTTGCTTACGTGTAGGTTTATTTATACAGGTATGTGTGTATGTATGTATGTATGTTTGTATGTGTATGTGTATATGTGTGTATCTATATGTATATATATATATATATATATATATATATATATATATATATATATATATATATATATATATATATACATATATATATGTACTATATATGTATAGTATATGTATGTGTAATGTATAGTATTATGTATATGTATATGTATATGTATATGTATATGTATATGTATATGTATATGTATATATATATATATAACTATATATATATATATAGTAGTA